CCCCATGGTTGGCCCCCCGATCGCAGGCACTGTGCAAGGCAGGAAGGAGCCGGCAGTCCAGTGGGTTAGGGGTAGGGTGGTCACTGACAACCACGCCTCTTAATTGGCGTTTAGATCAATTATGGCGAACTCTAGAAAGTGGTACAGGTTAGGAGGAGAGGCCGCCAGCTGACTCCGGTCTAGCGCTCAGACTGGGGGTGTGTGTGCGAGTCGGAAGTGGGGTGGGCCACCAGGAGGAACAGCCAGAAGAAAGGGCCTGGGGCTGGGGGGAGCTTGTGTTGGGAGTTGAGAGACCGGGTAGATGGAGCTCTCGGCTGTGGCATGGGACAAGGCCAGGAAAGTGGCACTGGGTCCTGAGAGCAATGGAAAGCATTGGGTGGGGAGATCAGATCACCTCTTTACAAAGTTCTGCCTGTGGTCACCTGGAGCTGGGATGTGAGGGTTGGGGGAGATTTGGAAGATGGTGACGTGGTGGAAGCAGGAAGATTAATCTGGTCCTTAAATAGATGGATTGTTACTGCTGCTGAGGCTAGTAACAGTAAATCACTGGAAGGTGAACTCAGGTTGGCAGGAGATGGCCCCTGCATGCTTAGCTCCAGGGTGCCTGGCCCATGCCAGCAGGAGCCCCGTGTTGGCCACTGTCACTACCTGGGGCTGTGCAGCCTGCACACCAGGCTGCAGAGGGAGGTGAGACCCTCCTCCATATGGAGGGAGAGGCTCAGCTCCACGGGCAGCAAGTGGACTTTGGCTGGTTTCCAACTCTGACAGCACAGCCGGTGACCATGGCAAGCCATGCAGGCAAGCAGAGCTGCAGGTGCCTTTCTTGGTAAAGCAAAAACTTGACCTCTCTTTCCAGGCCCAGAGCCGGACGCTGGGGAGCTGTTCACGGAAGCTCAGCCCTGCTGTGGGGGTGCACCTCCTCTCCACATGACCCTGAGTGCCAAACTCAGTTTGCTCCTTTTGTCTGGGGCTCTGTCGAAATTGAATTTCCACTTGGTGACTAGTCACAGCTTACTTGACTCTGTCACGCTGGACTGTGCTACAGGAAGAAATGAAGGCTGTCCGGCAACGACGGGTAGATGTGCAGTCCTGACACCCCACCTGTCCACCAACCCTGGCTCCCCGCTCCTGGCTCTGCCTGTCTAGTCTTGGGCGGCTCCTCTCTCCATTCTGCCTGTCTGGCTCCCATGATCAAGTCCAGTTCTCAGCAGGCTGCACATGGTCCCCCGCCTCTCCAGCCTCTGTCAGCCAAGAAGGAGCAAATCGTTCCTGCCCTTGCACTCCCCTCCCACGCTGCAGCAGATGTTCTGAACCCATCAGGCCACTTTCCACTGAGCCAGACCACATGGGATCCCTGGTCCCCACAGTGAGTGGCCTCACCCTCAGCATCCTTCTGGGCACAGTGCCGCAGGCATTCCTCGGCGCTGGGGTCTGGGTGGCCCCGGGGGCCCACCTGCTGGCCCTCGCTGCCACGTGCCCTGCTTTGTGAGCACGTGCTCCATGGCAACCTCCTGCCCATCACCTCAGCTTCTCCTGGACTCTGTGCCTGTCCAGATGCTGCCTCCACCTCCCTCCCAGGTTCATCCAACAGCCACAGCGGGGGAGCTAATGACTCCATCCTCCTACCCAGGACACTGCACCCGAGCTGCCAGGACCCCAGATACCCCAGGACTCCACGGAGTTCAAAATGGCAAGTTCATTCTTTATTGACATGGTTTTCTCAATCCTAAGAGAGACAGTGTTGATAGGGAAGAAGAGGGGAAAAGACCCTGAGGGGCCGGGGCTGTATTTCCAGCTCATAGATGGAGTATTTGCTTGGCAAGTGCGAGGCCCTGGGTTCCAGCCTCAGCCCACCAAAAAAGCAAAAAAAGAAAAAAGGAACATGGCATAGATGTCATTGAGCACAACGTTCATCCTGGCTTCTTTGGAACATTTGTTACTCACACCCTATCTGTGGAGAACCCTTTCTTCACACCTAAGGGAGACTCCATGGTTGGCTATCCAAATGTGGCCATTGCCTGGTTAGACTAGCAAAATACCTGCTCCATACTCATCTACTTATTTTCTCACTCAACAGATACCTACAGAATCTGGCCTGAAAATGCTTGGTCACAGGTTGGGGAATCAAGGTCCAGAGAGGTGAAACTACTAACCCAAAGTCACCCAGCAAGAAAAAGGCAGAGGGACAACTAAGCTGAGCTCCCTCGGCCACAGTAGCTCCTGAGGCGTGTTGGAGTCCCCTGGCTCTCCAGGAACAGGTTTTCTTTCAGCCTGGGCATGGGAAGCTCGGGTACAAAGCCCTGGTGGGGCCGATGACTTTTGACTTTAGGCCAACTTAGATGACAGCTCTGGCGTCAGCCTCGTCAGCCTGTTGAAAACACTGAACTTGGGCAATGCACTATCTTCTGCCCTCTCTGGTTTCTGTCACTTTGACTCCATGCCCTGCAAAACAGTGTGGCCTGCAGATTTCTGAGGTCCGAGGTCCAAGGGCTGCCAGCACCCAGAGCTGCCATGCTGAGCCTCTCTTTCGGCCTGTCGCCAACATTCCTGGTCTTTGGCCCGTGAGCTCTGGCACAGCCCCCTCCACTGACTCATCAGAAGGCAGACTGAAGTCCTCCCTCCACAGTGCCCTTGGCCCTGAGCCAGGCTCTCTCAGTCCAGGGACTCCCAGACCCTGGGGAAGGAAATGCTCAGTGCTCAGAGCTCGGCCTGGGCCAGCCCAAGGGGGTCCCAGCTGCCTCCTCCCTGGCTGCTTGGCCCTGAGCTGTCACTGATCAACTCTGAACTTCAGCTTCTGCATCTGAAAAATGAGAACAAAAGCAACCAGCACAGAGCTGTCCCTGGGAGGGCTCCTTCCGCGGCTGCGGCCGGGGACAAGGTCACCCGTCCATGCCTGCAGGTTCTGCATGTGGGTTCAGCCACTGGCCAAAATACCCTTAAAAGAACTGCCTCTGTACTGAACACTGACATTTTTCTTATTGTTATTCCCTAAACAACACAGTAACAACTGCTCGTGTGGCACTGACATCAAGTTAGGAATTGTAGGTCACCCAGAGATGATCTAAAGTCCACAAGAGGGCGTGCACGGCTCATATGCAAATACTATGCCATTCTATAGAGGGGGCTCGAGCATCTGTGGAGTTTGGTATCTGTGGGGCATCCTGGTACCAGTTCCCTGTGGGTACCAAGGGATGGCTGCATGGGGAAGAGTTAACTGATCCTATTAGACCAGCACTGACGACGAGTTCAACCTTTGGATTTTCATACATGTGAATAGTCTGACCCTATTCATGTTCCCTTAAACCTGAGTCTTGGTCTCTCATCTGTAAAATTGAAAAAAAAAATGCACCTAATTTTCACACTGGGTCCAGATTAAAAGAGACGATGAATGAACACTTCTCACCGGGCTGAGGCGGACAGAGGTCCGTTGTTCTCAGCCGGCAGCGTTAACCAGGCTGCTTCTCCTCCGTAATTCCTCGAGGCCTTTCAATACTGCTCTCTTTTTTAAAAAGCTTGTTGAGTATGATTTCACACCATCAAACAGACCCCTTGTTGCTGCTGAATCTGTTCAGAGCAGTCATGTGACCATGACCACTATCTAATTTGGGGGATGTTGCCATCGTCCCCCAGAGAAACCACGTGCCCATCGGCCGTCACCCTCTGCTCCCAGCCCCTGGCAACAGTCCTCCAGGTTCTGTCTCTGTAGGTTCTAGAGCTGCCTTTTCTGGACATTTTGGAAAAACGGAATCGTGCAGTGCGTGACCTGCCGTGTCCGGCTCCTCCCCTGAGCACCACGGTTTTGATGTCCGCCCTGTGGCATCGCCTTCTCTGTGACAAGCCCTCTCTCACACCTCATCTCCCACCTCCTTCCTTCTCCTGGACGCTCATCCTATCTCAGATGTCACTAATGGTCCCTGCTATGGTTCGGGTCTTCAATGTCTCAGTGTTAGCAGCTTGGTCCCCAGTGAGCTGCTGTTGGGAGCTGGTGGAAGCTTCAAGGGGTGGGGTCTCCCGGGAGACTTTAAGCTGTTGAATGGTGTGCCCTTGAGGGGGACTAGGGGAAAAGGTCCCCTCTTTGTCCTGTCCTTCCTGCTCCCTGTCCATGAGGTGGGAACCCTACTCCCCCACATTCCCTCCATGATGCGCTGCCTCACCACGGGCCCACAGCCACGGAGCCAGCCGACCACTGATTGAACCTCCAAAACCGAGCCAAGCTAAACCTCTTCTCTTTACAACTTGATTATCGAGGTATTCGATTCAGTGCTGAAGGACTGACCAACCCAGCCCTCCATCCCACCTGGCCCAGGCCTTTGGCCTCTCCACCAGGACATCAGCCTGCGGGTCTCCCGATGGCCAGTCTCCACCTTTGCTTCTGTAGAGAAGCATCCCTGGAGAATTCTGCCTCAAAGACTGATAAAGCCTTCACAGCTCTGTTCCAAAGCTTTCAACGTCTCCCACTTCCTTTGGGATGAAGACTAAGAGAAGGAGGGGGATGGGGAGGGAAGGGCGGCCCTTACTCAGGGCTCTTCTGGGCAGCGTTGTGCCAGCAGCACCCCTTCCTGGCCATGCCCCATCCATCCTCTGGCCCTAGGCACAGAGCAGCCCTGGGCTTCCACACCCTGGCCTCTTCTCCACTGCTGCTTTGTCATGCCGCCTCACAGCAAGGCCCTCCCTTCGCCTGCTCTCCTCACCTGACCGGGTCCCACTCACTGGCAGGACTTTCCTAAGCAGCCTGTGAGCTGCCCCAGGCAGAGGCCCCATGCCCCTCTGGGATCCAGGTCTTTCAACCCAGCACCTGTGGCAGGCTCAGAGCTGAGCTCAGCCAGCTGAGTAAGTGGCAGTGGCTTCTGTTTTTGAGAACTGATATTGATCTGCATTTAACTGTAACTGTTTGAGTGATCTTCAGAATTAAGCATGGAGCAATGCCAAGCCAAGAGCCCTGGAAGGGAAACAGCCCTGAGCCCTGCGAGGAACCAGCTTGCTTTCCAGTTACTGCTCACCTCCCTTGAGAAAGCTGGCCTTCATCATCTGCTCACCTCCCTTGAGAAAGCTGGCCTTCATCATCTGCTCACCTCCCTTGAGAAAGCTGGCCTTCTTCATCCTCAGTGCAAGGGTTTCTTCAACTGCTTTGGCTTTCTTGCCATACAGGAACAAACAAAGACTCAGAGAGCTCGAATTACTTGCCTGAGGTCACACAGCCAGGAACTGGAACTGAAGTGGGGCAGACCCCTCCTCCATCTTTTCCCACCCCAGGCTGCACTCGAACTTGAGAGAAACTGAACTGCGGTTACTGCTCTCTCACCAGCACAATAGAGTTAGAATTTCTTCTAAATTTTAGAGAATCTGATTAAGAGCCGAGGAGCAGAGGAGACTGGAACTCTCCTAGACCAGCCAGCTCTCAGCTCCTGTGGGTGTTAGGACCATTTAGAGATTGAGTGATTAGACTCTGGAGAGAAGAAGGTGAGCCCTCCTATGCGGACCCCTGGGGTCCACTTGGTCAGGAGCCTCCTGAAAGCATTCTAAGTGACAGGCTTCTTGGGTGACCTGTGGTGTCTGCTGCCAAGCCACAGACAAATCTCAGTTCGACATCTTCCTTCCAGCAGCAAGACTGACTGCAAGATGTCCTGTCTTTGTGATTGGAGTCGGAGGGAGATGAAGCCACCCTTCAAGCAGTACTCACGGGGCGTCACCTTCAAGAGGTGGCACAGGGGACGCGGATTCTCCAGCCAGACCCTTTTCTCCGTGTGCTGGCGAGGGAAGCTCTGCCGGGAGTCTGTCCAGCTGGGGTGCTGGCCCTGGTCCACTCTCCTATGCCAAGGCAACTCACCCGGCCCCTGGCACTGGTTTGGTGAACACCTGCTGGGACTTTTCACGAGAACTGAAGAGACTTGGGGACTTGCTTGCTCCTGCTTGTCCCCACAGAGGCCAAACAAGAGAAGGAGGGAAGGGAAATGAGGCCTGGCTGCGGAGCAGAACGGAAGGGGCCGGGCAGCCCAGAGCCTGGAGGTCGCAGAAGTCTGGATGACTTCTTGCCAAGAACAGAACCCGCCCTTTGTAAGAAACTGCAGGGAGGTGGCCGCCTGAACAGGCCCTGCAGTTTGGAATAGCAGTGTCCATGTCCCCTGCAGGGCAGCCAAGGTACTCAGTAAACAAACCAATGATTATGAGCCAAATACCAAAAACTGTTCGTGGTATTTTCCAGAAATGTGTTCGGTTTTGCTTCCTTTTACATTTTCAATTTATTTCTAAATCTCTTGTGTTTTTCTGTTCTAATTGTGGAAACATTTGATCATGAAAATTGAACTTCATTTTAAAATAAAGGGCAGACAGTGGCTTGTGGGTTTTGAGTTGCATCCCACAACTGCAAAGTAGCTCATGCTGTATTCTGCTGGACGATCCTTTTGAAATCATGCTAATAATTTTATTTGGCATGACATGCTCAGATATACTCTACTAGTGTATAACTTTGAATTTTTTAAAAAAAGAGCAGAAAATTGAATAACCTAGAAGAAATGGATGAATTCATAGAAACAGACAATCTACCAAGACTGAATCATAAAAAAATAGAAAATCTGAGCTCACTTGTAACTAGTGAGGAGATGAATGCTGTAATCAAATACCCGCCAGCAATGGAAAGTTCAGGACCAAACGCTCGCACCAGAGAATTCTACAAGCGTTGAAAGAAGCAGGAACACAGCTCTTCTCAAACACTCCCACAGAACTAAAGAGAAGAGGCCCCTCCCACACCCATTCTACCAGGCCAGATTTACCCTGACAAAGGTACACAAAAGCAGAGGAGGACACAATGAGAAAAGAAAATTGAAGACCAATATTCCTATAAGTACTGACCCAAAGATCCTAAACAAAACACTAGCAGAACAAATTTGAGAGCACAGTGAAAGCCTGCTCCTTGTAACCAGGTGAGTGTGAGTCTGGAATGGAAGGATGGTTCAACACATAGAAATCAGTCATTGTGACAAAAGGAGGGACAAAAAGCACATGATCATCTGAACAGAGGCAGAGAAGGCATTGGCAGGATCTGGCCAGCTTTTATAAAAGCATGCTAAGAATAGAAGGAAACTACCACAGCATGACAAAGAGTGGCACAAGACGCTAACAATTCCCATCGTCCTCCGTGTGGAAACTGAGCCTGATCCTCCAAGATCAGGAGCAGGCAGGATGCCCATCCTTACCACTAGTGAACCCTCAGCAAACCAGTGGAAGTTCTGCAACACCAGTAGGAGAGAAAGAGGAAGAAAAGAAACGGGAGTTGGAAAAGGAGAAGAAAACTCTCTTTGTTCCCAGACGGTGTGCTCTTGTACTTAGAAAACCCCTAGGATTCCGCCAGAACACTTAGAACAAACGAATTCAGCCAAGTTTTGGAATACAAAATCAACACCCCAAAATCAGTTGTGTTCCTCTACAGTAATGGTGACCAATTCGAAAAATGACATTAAGAAAATAACTTTTACAACAGCACCAAAAAAGGATAAAATACCTAGGAATAAATTTAACCAGGGAAGTGAAAGACTTGTATACTGAAATGACCAAACAGGAAGAGAGGGAGGAGGAGGAGGAGGGGGAGGGGGAGAGGGAAGAGTAGAGGACCTGG